TTCGTTTCAAATTATCTGTTATGAATTTCTTTTTATGCCATAAATTTATTATTTTATTTAGTTTTGTTTGTATATTGGTAGTAAGATCTTTTTTTCCCGGTTTATATGTTTTTATATCACTTATTAAGCCTAGCATTTTCGTTTTGTATTCACTTTTTAACATAATTACAGTTTTGTTACATTTATCTGCTGTTAGTATGCAAATGTTTGTGTTTTCATACATACATTTTTTTGTTTCATTTATCAGTCCATTAACATGCCATACTTTTGTTTGTGTTTTGTTTTATTTTACCTTTGAAATTTGTTAAGATGTTACACAATTTATTTCTGATCTCGTTCTTTGCCTCATTATTTAATGAGAAGATTCCATGTTCAATGCTTGTTATGATTTCTGAAATTGGACCATAGTGAGACTTATTTATGGAGAACCTTGGTCCAAGTGATAAGATGTATTTTACGTTGTTCGATATGTTTATTGAAGGCAAATTATTTATCCAATTTTCATTAATGTTACATTTGTTTGTTCTGCCATGTTTCTTTAATAAAAGTTTTTCTAGTTCATTTTTTTGTTTTGCTTTAATCTGTTATTTCAGAAAAACTGATGATGGTGGAAAAATACACCGAAATGTATTTTAATTGATAAATAGACAATAAATGACTGAAACCCATTAATTAATTTTGATTTGGAATAAAAATTAGTTTTAAATTGTAAGATACATTTCTGCTTCTAATTCGTTACATATTAAGCATTTTGGAAAACAATTAATTAGGAAGTCGTTTTGACTGCATTTTAAATATCCCAAATCGTTTTCAAGGGAAGATTTTTTAGCAACTTTGTCGTCCCTTTAGAATATTGGGCAACAAATAAGTTCCAAAGCTTATAGTAGCATCTTGTCGATACGTGGACAACTTAGAATGATAGTGACATTATCACACTGTTCGTATTTTCTATAATATTTGATGTTTAAAAATCTAGTTTGGTGCGATGCACCTTCGGTACTTGACAATTTGTCGCAATATTATGCTGTTATCAATATATATCTGTGGCCTCAATTTTGTTGAAAAAAATGTATAAGTACATACTGTTGACACTTATTTTGTACAATTGTGTAGGTTATTAAGAAATTTGTGTCAAAAACAATGTTTTACAATACTCTAATGACTTCACTCAATGACTACTAACTCTTTCTGCCTACGTCAGCTACTGTTGAACGCACTTCCTGAGATAAATAGCCTTATTAATCCCTTCTGTCCCAGATCTGATAAAGTAGCGCTTTATTTTTTAGCATTTTTAAATGTATTTCTTTTAAAGTTTTTTGTAAATTTTTTCGTGATCTGCCCACGTTGAATGAATCCGAAGCATAGCCGATGCCTTTGCAGAATAAAAAATATATCTTCTTGATTTTGATGATTTTCATTGGATCATTGTGAGCAATATTAAAAAGGTGTTTCAAGGAAAGTATCAACTTTTTTCTTTGAGTCTCCGATTTACATTTAGCTCACTTCTAAATTCCTCCATTTTTTATACAATATTTCCAATTTAGTTATTCAGTATTGGTCATCCCTTATATTATTATTATATTCTTGAACAGTACGCTAAGAATTTGTCTGCAAGATCGGAAATTTTCTTCCCACAATCTGATTTGTATAACAGGTTCTCATCTATCACATTTCAGACAAAAATAAATCATTTTCAGACAATTTTTAGCATTGAGTAAATTAGTAATATTTTTGTAGCTATAAGTTTCTTTTTACTTCAAATTTTAAGTTGTAAATATTAAGAGAACCGGCTTATAGACATGAAAAATAGCTGGTTTTTTATAATAAAATTTGAGAAAAAAATGTTCAAGTAGTCTATCGCCTGGGAATCTATGTCATAAAACCAACAAACCAAAGACACCAAAAAGATCCGACTATACTGTGTAACTTCAATTCAAGCCGGGAAATGCATTTTATATTGAACTGGAGAGTGTTTTTGAGAACATTTTTTGTTAAGATATAAGCTACTCATAACGATCAGAACTACAGTTAATACCTTTAATTTTATGGGCTTACTAAGGCAGTCTCGATATTTTTCTATTTTCTTGCAATTTGATTGTCATCCTTGCGATCGACCCGTTCTGGTTCATTTTATATTCAATATATTATGTCATATTAATTTAGTTGCTTGCCCTGGATCGCAATAGGAGAAAACTAATAATGCAACCGCCGAGTGCTGTTGACACATGTTAAGGGTGCAAATTGCACCCTTCAGGGCAAATGGGCCCCCTATTTGTGACATCACGGTGTGAACGCTACTATTTCCAAATAGGGGTGTACATTATTAAGATAGGTTTTATCTCTTTACAGGCTTGAACTTAAGATAGTTTTAAATGGGAATTATTTTATTACACAAAGGTTAAGCGCAATATTAGTGCTGAAATGGCAAATTGATTTATATCAGTTCTTTGAGCGCCCGAAAAAACCTAAAAATATATCTAGATATACTTTAAACGGGCGTGAAATATAAATGCAAATGAAAACTTTGCTGGATATTGTTTTGGCCGAGAGCCGAGCGTACCGCCGTCGACGCCAAAGCGAGGGGTTTTTGATGCAAAGCTGTTCTTCGTTAGGTGGTATCATCGCCGATGATTCTCCTATAGAATGAGCATGCGCATGCGCGGCGGTATTATTAATTTACTGGTAAAAGTTCGGCAGTGTTTGCTTTTTAGTTAGTTTATGAAGTCGTTTTAAGATAACTCTTTCCACTGCGACTAGCTGCGAATGATAAGATGTTGTATAAATAAATCGCAATAACTTTTTTTCTACGAAAAGACATATTAGCGGTGAAAGTCGTTATTAACGAGACCTCTTTTCTAAACATTGAAAAAATGTAATTCAATAATAAATTTGTTTATTATTATTATTATTTCAACAACACATCAAACATACAAGCTTGAATTTTTTTCACCAAGTAGGGACTAACAATAAAATTCATTAAAAAAATGTATTATCAAAAGAACAGCAAGGCCTTGATTTGTGATTTGTTCCTGGTGATGGGTTAATGGCAACACAGCATTTTGCACAATTTCCTTTGAGAAACGAAAGCGTTTTGTGAAATCGACTTCAGTAAATTTCGCTAAGGTGTTTCATACATCGCGAATATACCTGAAAATAATACAATTATTATTTGAATTGCATATCACGCTTGTTGATGTTTTCTTTACGTACCTTTGTGGTATGTTGAAATCTAATTCCAAATCTGAATTATCCCGATTAAAACTGTACAATACATCGAGATCGTTATCTATATATTTAAAACAAAAATAGTATAAAAAACACGAGAAGTTGAGAACTTTCGCGCACAAAATAGCTTTGGCGATCGTTCGGAGATTCCTACACCCATCTCCGACAAATTCCCACCGCATCGCCCAACAACATTAAAATGGGCGTTCGTTAGATGCCCAACCGATCAGGTGTGCAACCAAAATATTACAAATTACAACCGCAGAAACATCTGCTCATGTAGAGTGCCTATTTTATAGCGAGTTTTCAAATTCAAACTAAAGTTAATTGATGCTGAAAGTAAAAATGACTACTTGTGACCCGTTTTACAGATTCAGTGGGTTGGAAAAGTGGATAATTTCCACTTGATTTATATAATGGCAATAGATAAATACATCCACAGCACCTAAAAACGGTTAACTGTGCTGATCCAGCTAATAGTAATAATTATATCCATGGTGGCGTATTTAAAACGCCCACTGGGACTGATGACAAAATTCAACCACCTGAACACTACAAACCACGTGGGTTGGCCACCAATTCATTTGTAGAACTTGATCGTGATTCAGCTGATTTCCCATCGCATGATGTCTATATAAGCATTAGATTCGGTTTTTTACCGTAAAATTTTATCTTCTACGTGCTTATGAAATAAGCAGTGTATGATGAGAACAAGAGTTTTTGTTTTTACTTTATTTATTTAGATTATCTGGGCTTTGGCGGCATTTTGTGGTCTAGCCTTTAAAATGTTGGTGTGGGATGCCCGAAACCGGAGATGCCTCTGAAAATTAACCTTCCCCTTTGCATGTCGACAATGCCAATCAATTGCAACAGCCTGCATCATGCTTCCTATTATTTCCGTATTAATCCAAGCCGACGTAACGTGCATGTCCATTGTTCCTTTGATGCGTTAATAATCTGATACTTATTGACAGTGCTCGATGCGTTTAGTCCAGATCTCAGATGGCTTTGGTCGATGTATTTGCATTAAAATTAGGCGAACTTAAAGCATGTTGCACTGGAGGCACTGGGCTGATGGTATAAAAATCCCTACAAAAGTGGAAAGCTCTTGAATGTATGACAGGAATATTGCCCAAGTTATATTAATCTGAATTTATAACAAAAAATGGAGAAATCAATAGGTAAAATGGAGAATGAACAAGACAATATAATTGTAGACATCGAACAAATGAAATCAACATGGAAGGATCACGTGAAATAATTGTTCTCAGACACAAGAACAGAACAACAAATAACAAACGCCATAACAGGACCGCAAATGATTTAAGACGAAGTTGAGACAGAATAATGACCCTCAAGGATGGAAAGGTGCAGCCAGAGATTGTCAAATTTTTTGATGAGGATTTCTACAGGGTTATTCACGCTATACGGCACG